AATTAAATAAACATTAAACATAAATTAAAGCATTATTTTATGCAGCTTTTAACACATAAATTTGACAAGTGTTTCAAAACGTTTTAAGTTATTTTATATTTATTAATTTATTTATGCATTTTATATCTTAAATATGACAAATTTATTATTAAAAAAAAATTACATGGAGTGCCCACCAATTTAGTATCCTCAATATTAACGACTATTTTCTTTTTTTGTTTACCTATTCTATGCACTATGACTGTTCATACAGTTCTATGCACCATTTTTGTTTTTTCACTTCTATACATTATGACTGTTCATAGACTTTTATGCACCATAACTATTCTACAATCCTATGCACCATGCGTTTTGCCTTGATTGACACCTAACAGAAATTCGTTAATAAGGTATTTGCTATTTAAAATAATATTTCTTGACAAATTAATAATTCTATAAAGTTCATGAAAAAAATGAAAACAATATGATTACCAAAAATTTTAATATATGACTAATCAGTTGGAAATACGTAAGAATAGGTTGAAACTTATGTAATTCTTATGTTGAAATGATAAAGTTGAATAAAAAATAATTTTAGAGCAGCCATGGTGTTGGTGGTTAGAGTTTGGGCTTTAGAACTGGTGGTCCGTGAATTTAAGCCAGCCCTGGAAATATATGCAACGTTCGTAAGGAAGGAGGCGTAAACTTTCTGGTTAAATGCTATTCAGCGGTGCTCTATGATCAGATCATTAAGACTTCTTGGAGAAGACCATTAAGATTTCTCGGAGCGCATTACACCTGCCGAGGAATTAAAAATAAATTTAGGGTAAGGGAGAGCGGGCAATAAAGGAATAATTTTTTTTTACAATTGTAGTATGATTACTACATATTTAATATCTTACTACTGACATATTTAAATATCTAATTTTACTTGTCTTAATGCAAACACAATTCAAAAACTAAGTATATTTTCCATCAGGTATTTTTTAGCATTTTTGCTCATAAAATTTTTTTAAATAAGAAACTCGATCTTTATCTAAAAATAGCCTGACTCGTTTAAACATAGGTTGGCTCGATTAATTTTTGTCTGCTTTCAGTAGACGCTGAAAACTAAAAAAAAAAAGAATACAAAGCTTGACACACATCTTTTAGTTTGAATTGGTAACAACAACTTCAAACAGCATTTTTTATTAAAAAATTTCTTTTTATTCTTTTTATGTTTCTTACAAGAAAAAAGAGGGAGGACGTGTTTTAAACACCCCTCTTATTTTTGTTAATACTCATTTGCGCAAAACTCTTTATTGAGCGTCTTTAAGGGGGTGCTTAAAATACGTCTGACAAATTATCAAGGGATGTTAACAATTTCTACACTTATTGTGTATATTCAGCAGTAAAAAATAATGACGCCGAGCTGTACATACAAATTCTTCAGACCTATGCGAAAAACTTTTTTTTGTTTTAAAAATCGCTTTTTACCAAAGGTAAGATTGACTTGAAATTTTTTTGCTTTTAAAATAAGTTTTTTAAAATCTATAAATAGAATAATTAAGTAAGAGTTCATATACTCTGATCAATTAAAAAAAGTTATACTAGCTGACTAATTAACATTTAACAAGTGTCAATACCGACAAACTATTTTGACATGTTCGTGTTAACAGAAAGTTTTTACACATAGGTATTAGTTAGAAATGTATTGTGCTAAAACTCATTAAAATAAAAAGTATTAAAATAAAATAAAAAGTGACCTCAAAGCAATACAACATTTTTTATTGTCATTAAGTAAATCGGAACTTTCTTCACATAGACTCTTCTTATTGTACCATTAACAAAACGACTTCATTATTAACCATTTTATTATTGTTATTTATAAATTTATTCAACAAAGATTCAGAAAATATGTTTTTAAGAACATCTTCATCCAAGCTATAAGACATACTTTGACATTTAAAATCAAAAATCTTCATCTGTTTTAAGAACATCTTCATCCAAGCTATAAGACATACTTTGACGTTTAAAATCAAAAATCTTCATCCAAGCTATAAGACATTGACATTTAAAATCAAAAATTTTAGTGCACTCTGCTTATCATAGTTTAAAAAAAGTTGAGATTTTTGTTAAATTTTAATACAACGGTGTACATTTGCAACCAATCAAATGTCAACTGCTGCAGATGCTGCAAAGTGTAGTTTACAATATATAATTTATTTTTAAACGAATTAGATTGGTACTTTACATACTAATTTTTTAAAGCCTAGGATAGTAAAGCCTACGATAGTAAAGCCTAAGATAGTAAAGTCTAGGATAGTAAAGCCTAGGATAATAAACATACTAATTACATATTAATTTTTTATTATAGTATTAAAGTCTTGAAAAGTCTTGTCAAGTCTTTGCGGTGAGCTATAGCGACTAGCTAGAAACAGCTATCTTTATGGTTAGCTAATGATTTTTTAGCAACTTGTTTCTTTAAAATATTGTTTCATTTTGTCTTTTATGTCTTAAATAATTTAATTTTAATTAATTTAATTTTTTTTTTTTTAATTTAAGAAGTTTTTTTCCCAGAAAAAATATGTACAAGGTAAATTTACATTGAATATATTACTGGTAGGACTTCCAGAAGATCACATGATCTTATCATAAAGCCCTTTACAATCTATATAACGAATTAAAAGGTAGAAAATTTACAAATATTAAAAATTACATAAGCGTTAGAATATTCTTCAAATGTTAAGCAAGTTTTAACATAATATTTTATAATATGGATATATAACATTCTCAATATTGAACAATATTATAATATAAAGTATTCAGCATATATTGTTTAAATAATATTCATCGACAAAAATATCAAATAACTTGAAATACTAAAAATAAATAAATATATTTTGTGTTGAAAAGATTATTTCTTTTGTTTTTTTTTTTAAAGGAGGAATAAGACCATTTCAAAGAAAAATCAAAGTTAGGTAAAACTATTTTATTCCAAAGAAATGGACCACGATAAGAAATACAAAACTGGTCAATTTTTGTTTTGCAAAACGGCTCTTGAATATCTTTACTATCACGAAGTTCATATTTGTTTTTTGGTTTCAAATTATAGAGATTTATAAATACACTTGGAGATAAATTTTCTTTACAGTTAAACATAAAACATAAAATATTAAAAATACTTAGTTCGTTTATATTTAAAGCTTTCATTTCTATAAAAAGTGGTGTTGAGCTTGAAAAACGATTTCCAAAATTAATTATGCGAACTGCGTGTTTCTGATGCCGATAGAGAGATTTAAGTTTGGTTTTGTGAGCGCTTCCCCATATAATATTGGCATAGTTTATATGGCAATGAATAAATGAATAATATAGTTGAGTTAGTTGCTTTTTATTTAGTATATATCGAGCTTTGTATAGAACTCCAATGTTTTTAGCAACTTTCATTGAAATACTATCAATTTGCTGACTCCAAGATAAGTTTTCATCTATTATGACTCCTAAAAATTTTGTAAATTTTTCTCTTTTTATGATTGTATTGTCAATAAATAGGTCAGGTAAGATATTTTGGATTCTCTTTTTTTTAGAGGTTGGGTGAAAAAGTATAAACTTTGTTTTATCCGTATTCAAGGACAATTTATTTTTTCTAAACCAATATGATATTCTTTTTAATTCATTATTCATATTATTAAAAAGTATTTCTATGTTTTCGTGCGACTGAAATAAATTCGTATTATCTGCAAAATTTACGGTCGTTAGGGTAGAAGCTTTGTAAAGATCATTTATGTATAATAGAAATAATAGTGGTCCAAGTATGGACCCTTGGGGGACACCGCACGTTATATTTTTTATTATTTGCGATGAAGATTCTTTGTTATAAACAAATTGTTTGCGGTTACTTAGATAGCTTTTGAACCAATTTAGGGTTTTATCTTTTATACCATAGCTCTCTAGCTTTTTTATTAAAATATGATGATTAACAGTATCAAAAGCTTTTGACAAGTCAGTTAATATGCCTAGTGTGAATTGAGAATTCTTAAATGAATCGGCAATACTGCGTGTTACTTGGAGAATAGCGTGTTCAGTAGAATTGTTTCTCTGAAAGCCAAATTGATTTTTATAAAGGAGTTTATTATCAATAAGATAAGTATTTTAAGTATTGGATCAATATGTTTATGATAATAATTGAACTTATAACATTTTATTACGACATGTCGCTATCTAGAAATCGCAGTTTTGTAACTATTGATATTACTAGGATATATCGTTATCGTAGCTAGCTATAGGATAGCAAAAATTCTGTAGCTAGCTAATGACTACATACTGCAATTTTGTAGCTGGCGATGATGTTACATTTTGATTACTGTATATTATCATTTTGTAGCTAGCTTCTACTTAACGAGATTTACATACGATATAGCTACTACATAACGACAATTCTACTGTGTGACTATAACCATCAATCGCTTTAGCAGAATGTATGTATGTAACATACATATGTATAAAAATATAGTTAAAAAAAAATATATTAAAGAAATTTTGATAATATAACTCTTAAACTCTTAAGGTCTTCCGACCACTACATACATGGTCTTAAAATAATTTTAAGACCATGTATGTAGTGGTCGGAACTAAGATTATTTTAAGACGCAGATCAAATGTTTTAATGTTTTTAATTACTTTTAATGTTTTTAATTACTTTGCTTTGTATTTTTAATATTGACAGTTTTATTTAAAGGGGCTTGGTCATAAAACTAAATTAGTCTTCTACTTGCCCCAGCCATGTATTATATATTGTATTCACAAACTTGTAAACTTTTTTCATCGGCGAAATACATAATAATAATAGCAATAATAATAATAGCAATAATAATAATAATAATAAATGTTTGATTACTTAAATATGTGTATTCAAACAAAAATACAACAACAATTTTTTATTAACATTTGAAAATTATTTGATAAGAAATAAAATTGATTTGAATTCAGTATTTATTTTGTATAATAAAAACCATTATTTGACACAAATATTTTTATTTTAGCTGAAATTTTATAATGTTATTTAACTTTGTCATTGGTTTTTTGGTTGGCATACTTGCATTACTGTCTATAGTTTTAAATTTCGTCTGCTTGCTCGTTATGAACAATACTACAAGAATGCTGGAAAGACCATCCTCGTATTTTGTTATTAACTTATTAGTTGCAGACATGCTACAAGCCGTTAGCGTTTTGCCTTTATATATATTAAAAAACTACAATATTAGTAATCAATTTTGGAAAGGAGTTGTGTGTGATGGTTTTCGTTTTTCGAATATGATAACATTTTATGTTTCAGCACTTGGAGTTCCGCTTATAGCTCTGGACCGTCTTATTGGAGCTGCATGCGTGTTTCAGCATCGTTTTTTTATGAAAAAAAGAATTGTTATGATTGCAATAATAACATGTTGGATATATGTTCTTACGCTCTGTATAATTCCATTTTTTTCATCTGATCCTCCAAATAAGTTTACAGATGAAATCAACAATCGCTGCATTTACAACCCTACGGATGCGTGGACATTATCCATGCTGATAATCAACTGTTTTCTCCCGTACATCTTAATATTATTGAGTTATAAGTATTTTGTAAAATTTTTAAGGAAAATGAAATCTATAAGAATTATAAAAAGTAATCAAAAAATCAGAAGTGATAGAGTAAGAAGAACGAATAAAATTGCAAAAATTTCAATTTTAATTTCTATTTGCTATGGTGTTTTAAATGGACCATCAGTATTTTATTACATATTAGATACAATATGTCCAGAAACATGTTTTCCGAGAGACTTTAAAAATTCTCTTTTTAAAAGATGTACCGAGTTTATTATAAAGTATTTAGCTTTTTCAAACTCTCTCGCTCCACCGTTAATTTATTGTTTTTCTCATACGGAATTTCTTTTGCGATTACAGTCGATTACTCGTATACTTAAAAGAAGAAAAGAACCAGCGGTAAACAATCACAATGCAGTCGAAACAACATACAATTAGTTTTGTAAAAACCTTGTAACAATTAATTTTGTAAAAAACTGTTGTGCTTTAAACAAGTTCTTTAGCACTTTCATCTTTAGCAATTCCAATGTACTTTAAACAAGTTCATGGTACTTTTAACAAAGTTTTTGTAGCTTTCATGAAGGGAATTTTTTAATTCAAAGACGTCTTTTTAACATATGAAAAAGTTCAGATTTTTTTTAACTGAATGGCCGCCGAATTAAGCAAAAAATGTAATTGGATATTCAAATACTATTTGATCAAAGTTTATTATACAACTTATAAATATTTTTCATTACAAGAAACAACTTTCTGGTCTGGATTATGTTATATTTTACTAATAATATATCGTAAATGCGTGGCAAGCAATATAATTATACATACGTTTAATTCAAATAAAATGACGATTAGCATATTTCAAATAAAATTTGTACAACTGTTTTTACTTTTTTATTTTTTTTAAATTAGTTTCAAAAAAAGATTTATTAATAAAAAAATAATACTTATAAAAAATAAAAGACATCCATGTAAACATTCAACAATTGAAAATAAAAATAATTTAGTCCGTAACGTGTCGTCAAAGTTGATTTTTGTACGACTTCAAAATCCTTCTCACGTGTTAAAAATCCATTCTTCTCACGTGTTAAAAATCCATTTTTCTCACGTGTTCAAAATCCATTCTTCTCACGTGTTACCTGAACATGATTCTTGTGGGTAAGCAATATCAGCATTTCAGTCACCCATGCACACTTATGTTTAAGAATTGTCTTAAAATCCTCAATAAAAAGAGCTAATGACAGGTTTGCTAGATTCATGTCTTTTGATTCAAGTGAGTTTTTTTGTGTTTTGTGTATTGTGTTCAAATAAGTTTGGGTATAATAGGGTAATATGATCACCTTGATAATATGAGATTTATAGGCTGTAAGCAATGAAGTTAAGAGAAGAAAAATAAGAGCATCCGTGGCGTAGTGGTAGCACATTTGCCTCATGGATTCAATACACTTATTAGTTAATTTTCCTTTTCCTGAAATTAGGGTTTTGTTACCCTTGTAACAAAACCCTAATTTCAGGAAAAGGAAAATTAACTAATAAGTGTATTGACTCCGTGCAAAATTATCATAGAATGGCAATCAGAAATAGCATAGATAATATTTATGCAATAAAGAAAGCCATTTACGCTATCCACGAGCGTTCACATCAAATCCTTGACGGCCTTGGGTAGCGACTATACTTGATTAAACTGTGTTTGGTGCAGTATAAACAGTCTTCATCCAACCATGAATGGAACAGGATATCATGATACAATGTAAAAAACCTTTCCTTTTTTCTTTGATATCAATAACATTGAAATCTCCTGCACAATCAAGACAAACAAACTTCTTACATATATTTGCTAAGACATTGAAATGAGTGTATTAGTAAGTATAAAATGAGTAATAAAAAAGTTTCATCACATTGCACAAAAGGTTTATTACCTGCATCAAGAATAGAAGAAAACTTTCTTGCAGAGCTAGATTGATTTTTCAAAGTACCATAGTACCATTTTTTTTCAAAATACCATTCAAGTACCAACATAATAAACACCATCATCATCATTGGTTTGCAACTATGCCATTCCATATTCTTTTTTTTTACGAGAAAAATTTTGTTTGTTACATTTTCTTTTATACTTGATATTTTTACTGACATTCATTGTAAGTATATTCATTATATACTATATATTTAATCTAAACAAAATAGAAAACAGTATCATGCATGATAAACAATTTTTAAATTGTTTATCATTGTTTGAAACTGTTTCCATTTTTCATATGTAAAGTTGCTAAAAACGAAGTTATACTTTCCAAGTTTAGCTTTTAGATAAAAAATATAAAGCAAAGTTGACAAAAATATAGTGAAACAAAAACTCTTTAGGGTTTGAGAATAAATGGGCTAACAAAATAATTCACAGTAACTAAGGACATTGCTATGAAGCTTTTAAATAACCTATATGTGTTTAATGGTTAAGAAAATACACAAATATTATACTATACCACTTTTTTAATTTTCCAAGTATATATGCAAAAGAACACACAAGTATATATGCTAAAAAACATGCAAGTATATATGCTAAAAAACATACAAAACAAATTTTTCAATATTTTAAAAAATTTTATGATTTTCTATAGCCCTACCACCTTAAACTTTTTGCGTCGTTAAAAACTTTCCTGACTCGTAAAATATGGGTCTTGGTAAATCTATTCAACACCGAATTTTTCTATACTTATTCGTTACAATATTTTCTAGTAAGCGGCAGAAAAATAACTATATACATATAGAAAAACTATATTTTTTGTTTACTTTTTAAAGCTATGAAAAAATAAAATTCTGTTTTAATTAACTTTAAAAAATTTTAAACGTTTTGGTAGCCGTTGCGCGAGTCGCTATTTATCAACGGATTGAATATTAGTACCTGTCTAAATAATATTCAGAACACCCGCTTGAAATGTGTTAAATAATTACCATCGGTAAAACTTTAAAAAAACATGAGAAAATATGTGAAATAACGGACTTACCATGACCCGCACAATACTGGTCATGACCATGACCCGTATAATACTAGTCAATAACATCATGAGATTATTCTTTTGCACACCAACCATTTTAATGACCGATTTTTGCTTTATTTAATACACCGACAATTTTGCTTTATTTCATTTTTTACTAATACGCCGACAATTTTGCTTTATTTCATTTTTTACTAATACACCGACAATTTTGCTTTATTTTAATAATTTTTAAAAAAAGCAAAATATAAAAAATCTTTGTTTTGAGTTAACGATTTATGTTCAATATATTATAACTTCTATAAAAATAAGAAGAAAAAAAAAAAAAAGGGGAGGAACCTTATAACTTTTTTCTTTAATAGGTTTCTATTAATTTTTTTCAGACTATCCTTAGCTTATTTGGACTATTGCCCCGTTAAATTTGAAAAAAATTCAAGTTTGCATGTAAAACCTTTTATTCTATAAGAAAGTTTAACACACATTAAGAAACTCTTGTGTGTAAACGCGCAGACTTAACTATAAAGCACATTAATAACGTATCTCCAACGTATCTCCAACATGAAATTTTAAAAAGCTTTTTAAAAAATCTCCCTTTCGTTTGTTTTAGTATGTTATATCTATATATATGTTATGAATATTTTATCTGTATATATGTTATGCATATATTATCTATATATATGTTATGGATATAATATCTATAGGAATTTAAAAGTGTTTTACTTTGTATTCTAGAAAAATACAAAATTACATGACTAATTTATGATTTTATAGAAATTTGTAAAAATTTCTATAAAATAATATTACTTTACATTATTAAATTTTATAGAAATTTGTAAAAATTTCTATAAAATCATAAATTAGTCATGTAATTTTGTAAACCCAAATTTTACCCAAATTTTTTTAAAAATTTGGGTAAAATTTGGGTTTACAAAATTACATGACTAATTTATGATTTTATAGAAATTTTTACAAATATTGCTTTGGCTATTTCGTTCATAAATTAGACATGTAATTTTAAGTCTAATTTACTTAACAAAGTGCACCAACGAGAAGGTAAGCCATAAGACTTTGCACTTCATCTGTGTACTATAATTTTGCCAAAAGTTAGCTCTCCATTTCTGGATTCTTTTTTTTTCTTGAGAGGCACGTAATGTGAAGTATTGCTATCTACGGTTAGCCCTCCATTTCTGGATTCTTTCCCTTTCTTGATAAGCACATAATCTTAAGTAATATTAGGTTATTTAATAATGTAAAGTAATATTAAGTTAATTAATTAACATTACAATTATAAAAGTTAGTCCTCCATTTCTAGATTTTATCCTTTTCTTAATAACAGTTTATGTTAAGTATTAGTAATCTTATTACTAAGTAGTCTTAGTACTAAGTAAATAAGGTATTTAGATTACCAGTATTTTTATTCAAAAAACTGTATTTTTTAAACAAAAATGCTGGTAAACCTGAAAAGTACACATCTAGGCCTCACTTCTTGGATATCAAGACTAAAACCAAAAGCCAAACTAAAAGCAATAGCTACTACAACTAAACTAAGTCTATGGCTTGTACAATGAAGAAAAAAAAGCATTATGATTAAAAGCTTTTATTCAAGAAGCAACTCCTTTATATTCACCTCCAATAAATCCTGTACCATCATACCCTTGGCCTCTACAATTTTGAATATCAAGTTTAAAAAGTCTTTTGAAGTGTATTAAGTAACTTTAGTAAGTAATAATAATAAATTTAGAGACAGAAAGTAAATTAAAGATAAGACCAGATGTACCAGTCTTGTAATCAATAAATGTTAGGAAATCCTCGCAAATCTCATTATTTAAATTTACATATCTTAAAAAAAGGGACATTCAGTATTTGAATACTCAACTGCTTCATCAAAAAAAAATATAAAAAAAAATGGAATACTTAACTTTTTTTATTAAAGCTATCTCAATTATTTTCCCACAAGAATTAATAAGTTTGTTTTGGGTAGTTTTTGATATAAAGGTTGCATTTTTTGGACTTGAAAAAAGATGATTAGCTTATATTTGATCACAAGCCTTAACGTGAATTTTTAAAAGCTGTATGAAGTTACCTCTTCTATTCAAGAAATATTATTGTGTTAATTATAGGAACAACTATTTTTCAGTTATCAGAAAAAAAGCTTAACACAAGAACTGTTTAAATCAACCTCAATAACATTACTTTTGGGGTTGCAACGTGAACATGCATTGTAAAACACAGCTTTTTCATGTTTTTTAAAATAATGAACAGCATTACCTCACTTGGTGTAGTTAAGGCGATTTACAAATTCTTTTAATTCTTTTATTTGGAATTTGCATGATTTTGTCAGGGTATTATGTCCAAACAAGAGCTTTAGATGTTATAATTTTTGTTGCTTTTGGTTTTTATAATGTTTTAAGAAATATTTCTTTTTTATATATATTTTAAAAAACCTTTTTACTACTTCTAATAATGAATCAAAAGCTCATCGGTGTTAGCACAATTTTAATTGAATTTTTTTGAAAAAGTGTCTTAACCCACTATAGATCCTTGTACTAATCGGTTCTGACGTATATCAACTAAATACAGTTGTCAAAATACATTTCTATCAAGTTTCACAAATATTTTAAGAATTCCGACTAAGAAAGAGCTTATAATTAAGAAAAACTGCCAAAAAACGGTCAGAACGTATCATATTCTTAAACTATAATGTTCATTTTATCTAAAAAGTTTATTCATTT